TTGCTGCTGCTCAGAGACATGAGGAGGCAGCTCCGACGCACAATTGAGTTTTATATTGAACCAAATCCAGTGTAGCTGGAGCTAAATCTTTTGTTTGATTTCAAGTTTTGTTTTAAATGTTTTTACAAATTAATGTTCATTTTTATAGAGATTTTTCATAATTTCATTTCATGGCGTCTTTCAAGAAACCCAAGGACGCATAGATAATTAATCACACAGTACAAAAGTATATAATACATGTTTTAAAGTTTAAAAGGTTGTTTGTTTTGAGTATAATTGTTGTTTTGATAACTTCTTTAGTTTCTGGTTTTAAAATGTCATCATTAGTAAGAGAATAAGTAATCTTTATTTACATAGCGCTTGGGAAAACCCAGAGCGCTCAAATTGTTTTGACTTCAGAGAGAAAAACAATCTCATTCGCATACTGATATCTATTGTTTTTTTAAATTGGCTGTTTCAAGGATTGTTTTTCAGACTCTGGCACACTGTGGGAGAGGTCACTGCTGGACACTGGACAGCGCAAAGCCCACCCAGCCACAGGTCACAGATCAAAGAGCAAAGGGAAATGCCACCTCCTTGCCCCTCCCCACGCCACTGCAGAACTGAGTGGGTGTGAGAGAGACCGGGGCCATGAAAGAGAGGTATCTGGAGACGTGATGGGTGGAGCGTCAGGTAAAGACCTAGAGGGAGTTGAAAGTGTGTCCAGTTGGTTTACATCACCACAGTGTGACCTTTGAGACCTACAGGTGGTTCGTGGAGTCTGGAGAGACAACCCCAAAATTCATACACACACACACACACACACATACACACTCATACACTCACACATTCACATTTACATATAGATACATGAAAAAGCAGAACATGAGAAAAAGCATTTTAAAAGTTTACTCCAATGTAAACACATATTTTTAATTGTCTATCACTTGAATCTTTAGTTGAATCAGTATTTTTTGAGACCAGAAATGTTCATTTGAATTCTATATTGTCATGGACATAATTGACGTCTGTCCTGACACTTTTGATTTGTTGATTTTGTACTGTGTGAAGTAATTACATTGATGAGAATTAGATCTGATAAAAACACAAATTAGAGAAGTAAACTGAATAACTGCGCTTGCTTTTGTCTAAGGGACATTAGCAACAGCATGAATAGAAATTGTGTCTTTAAAGTAGAATCAAAGTGATTAACCATAGAGAGTAACTATTGCATTACAAGCTGTGTACAGGAACTGAGACACTGCACCATTGACCAGAAGTGCATCGCAAATGACCTGATGTGCTTCAAGTGAAAAGACTGTATCTGGAGATCTGATGTGCATCTGGAGTGACCAGAACCATGGCTTGGACCCTACTGATGTCCAAGATGACCTGACCTGATGACGACTGAGACTCACCCTCAGGGGACCCTGAGGACCTGAGGACCTGAGAGAGAAAACTGGGGAGTGATGTTTATATTTTTGAAATCATACATTGATGAGTGCTAAATGAGAGAGATACTCATGATTCTTTCTTTTGTTTGTGTTTGTCCCTAGCTTCTGGACATCTGATGATCTATTGGACACAGCCATTTGCAGAACAAGAACCAGCCAATGAAAAACATCTATTGCTGATGCTATTGCTACAACCAGAACCACAACTGTGACCAAATGCAATATACATGTTAAGTATTCAGACATCTGACAGACAAAAACTTTGACTTTTTAGTCTGGTAGACTGAGCAACTGTTAAAAACTTTGAAAATGATAAAGTTTGAGTATTGTAGCGTTTTAATAGATGTTAAATAGTAGTAAAAAAGTAGAATTTGACTTCCTTTGTTGTTCATAAACATATTTCCACGTAAGAGTTAAAATAGTACCCTACAATGTTATCCTTTTGATAGAGCAGCTAAAATATTAGAATCAGAGTTATGTTACAGCCATTAAAAGTGACAGAAGTCACAAATTAGAAATATGCCTTTGCTCAAGCTGCAGCCGAGCTTTTGAGTTAAAAAAATAGAGTAAAAATAGAGATAGATAAAAGCATCAACCATAGATGCTTTCAAAAATAGAGAATATTCTTAGCCAGTGCTAATATCAAATGGTAAAGGGACCATTTCACAAGCATTTACTTCAAAAGTAGATAAAGTTACTTACAGTTTTATGTACAGTTTTATTAGATACTTGCCAAATTCACTTGTGTTCAAACATGAGTGATTGTTGACAATGCAAAAAGTCCATATGAGTGTAGCCTAGATTAATGCCCAGATCAATGAGACAGATTACAACCAAGAGAGATTCAAAAGCATTTTGATGTATTTGGGTGTAGCACAAAAAATAGTAGATATTTAGATATTGAGAAGTTTCCAGCACAAACACCATTGTAGAATAACTGACCCCAACCCCAAACCTAATTAGCTACTATTAGGATAATACTAATTTGATTAATGATGTTCATTCATCCCAAATGCCTGACAATAATATCTTTAGATAATAAAAAGTAATAAATCACTGACCACTATAGAAGTGTAAATGTTGACCATTTGCCTTACTGTGTTCACAGTTTTATTCCTGAGAATGAGAGTAGACATGGAGCAAAATCCCACTGATAATAAGCCACTGATAATGAGAGTATAAAACCATAGAGAGATTTATTAGATTAAAATGTATGTTTAAGAATATGGCTCAATAGAAGCAAATATGCAAACATATTTGTGAATAGATTAGAATAGTTTTAAACTATAGTGAATAGTGAGAGTAAAGTACACAGTCTAAGATTGAAAAGTGAAAATAATACAGTGGAGTGAAGTGTAAACAATTGTCATTAGAATAAAAGTATAGAGTAATAAAAGTGAAATTAGCTTCTAATTTGAGACTCAGCTCGTTTTTGTCTGTGTTTTGACTGAATCTGCTGAGTTCTTGTGTGTCCAATAGTTTTTTGTTTGTTTTTATTTTTGTTTGTTTTTATTTTTGATTTGTTTTTTGTTTGTTTATTTACTTTATTTTTGTTGTTTGTTTTTTCCCAGGATAGAGGATAAAATCCACTGATATTGATTTGATGATTATGAGTTTAATGCATACATTTTCTTTGTTTTTAATAATTTTTTTAAGTTTTTTTTTAGGATTTTTTTTTTCTTTTTTTTCCACTTTATTGATTGATCAAATTGAGTGATCACATGTGATTATGTGATCAAAGGGGAGGGTGTTAGTATTAGATAGCAATATGGCCTACGTGCAGGACTGTACAAGGACTCTACAAGGACTCCATGTTATGACTATGATTTGACTGTCTCTTTGTGACACGTATGTCTTTCGATGTGTGACGTGACAATGACTATATAAACTGTGTACTGCCTTTATTCTGTCTGAGAGGAAGAAACAGAGTAAACCAGTGGAACTTGAGAGAAACTTAAATAAACTTCCAGAGTTTGGCACACCACGATCCGTCTCTGTCTGCTTAAATCCTAACAAGGGGACAGGAGGCACAGCGCTACACATGCTGGAGGAGGTGTTAGCGTTTGAGCGCAAACTGACAGTTTTAGCCAGAGATTTACAGAGAGGCACACTGTCTCACTTCCCCTCTTTAAGGGAGTTCAAACAAGGTCACAAGCTGATCAATTCAGAGTATTTGCAGTCTGCAATCACCACAATGCAAGCATCGTTTGGGAAACGATTCCGTGAGTTCCGAGAGGAAAAAAACACATTGTCCTTCCCCGTCACTCCCCTGAACATCGATCCATCCCTGCTAAATGTGACTGCATTTGCAGGTGTAAGTCAACCTGATCTGGAGCTGGAGCTGGCTGACATAGCTGACAAAGACATGTGGGTGTCCAAATTCAAACGCTTGACAGAGGACCTTGAAGATGTTGCCCGTCAGAAGGCCACTCTTGCTCAGAATCACAAATGGAGTGATATTGAGAACCTTCCAAGACCGGACAAACTCGTGTTTGAAACATGGAATGCCATCCCCGACACCTACATGAACATGAAGACATATGCCTTTGGAGTCCTGTCGATCTTTGGATCCACATATGTATGTGAGCAGCTATTCTCCACCATGAACTACATTAAAAACAAACACCGCTCACGCCTCACAGATGAAAGCTTACAGTCCTGCGTAAAGATGAGTGTGACTTCGTACAGCCCCAATTTGCAGACGCTGTGCGCAGAGGTTCAGGAGCAGAAGTCCCATTAACCAGGTAAAATAAATATTTATGCAGATACTTTGCAAATATTTATTGTTCATTGTTTAGTGACACAGTGCCTTTCCCCCCAATTTATTTTCTAAATTCAGGTCAAGGCTCCGCTACTTGCTCTGAAGGCCCAAAGGCGATATAAGAATGACGGTTCACGGCATTTTTTTCCTTTTGTTTGTTTAAGTTCAGCTTTTTAATTTAATTGAAAAATACATTCAATTATTTTCAAGAATTCAACATGTTCAAAATGAGTTCATAACATAGATACAATTTAATTTTCTCTGTCCCACTTCGTGGATTTAATAAGCAACACTCTTTAGTTATTTATACAAAGTGTAAAGGTAAGAAAAAGAATTATATACAGTGTTTTCTTCATTTTAAATAAGATGATAGCCCATCTTCAAAATAAATAAATTCATTTTCAATGTCAAAAAGTATTTGCGGCTCCCAGTGTTTTCTTTTCCGTGGAAACTGGATCAAATGGCTCTTTCTGTGTTAAAGGTTCCCGACCCCTGAGATAGACCAATGGCTCCTATGTGTTTGTTATTATTGCATTTCCTGAGATCTGCTAGATTCTCTGATCGACAACTTTGTAAACTTCTTTGAGACGATCACGCTGTTGTGATTTAAAGCTACTACTTTGATCGATACTACTACAATTGTTAGCTACTTTTAGAATGATCTAGTTACTTGTTTTGTTTGTATGAATGGATGTGTTTCTGCTGCTACTGTACGCCTGCATTTCGCCAATCGGGGATCAATTAAGTATCTATCCATCTATCTAATACAAAACCATGTTGAATTGAATTTGTCTCGTGTGTTCTAGGCTCACGAGTTCGATGAGTGCCGCCTGGACGTGACCGTGAATGACAGCGTCTGGTATATGAGAGCGCAAGACCCAGAGCACAGGGCCCAGTGGATAGAGTCCATCGAGCTTCACAGAGTAAGTCATAAAACAAACTCCATTCTGCCTTTTTCTTTAGCCTTTCTTGTTGTTTTAACGGTGTGTGTTTTTACTAGAGTCTCCGAGAAGGGAGGAGAGACAAGGGACCAGCCCAGGGAACCACACTCCTCCCCCCGACACTGGTGCGTACATTAGCGAGTGCAGAAATTGTGGAGAAAATATTGTTTTTATAAGCCCAACCTCATGCAAAAATGGAACGTTTGGGGTTTGTAAAGTCGCTGCTGTTCTCAAATCATGGAATGTATTCAGGACGACGAGCACAATGGAGTCAGTGTCTGGTCAGGTGCTCCTTAAAAGATGTGCATGCCAGAACTGTTCTACATGTTATTTTGTCGGTATGGGAAACCAGAGCACCCAGAGGAAAACCTATGTAGAGACAGGGAGAACATGCAAACTCTACATAGAAAGGAGGAGGTGGAATGGAACCTAGGTTTATCAACAGAATTCAATATTTATCTATCTATCTATTTCCATCCCTATCTCTCTCTATCTACGTATCTATCAATGTATCTCTATTCCCAACTCTATCGCTCTATCTCTCTCTATCTCTCTCTATCCCTCTATCTTCAGTTTCAATGTATTCATTATTATTAGGGCAGAAGAAAAAAAAAAATTAGGGCAGAAGCAAACACTTGCACCCATCTCTCTCTCTCTCGCTCTTTTTCTTTACATGTATTTATCTCTGTCCCGATATCTATCTTTCTCTATCTCTCTAGCTCTATCCCTTATTCTATCTATATGTCTATCTCTATCTCTCTATAGATATCTCTCTTCCATGCTTTTTTTTTCTAATTTGCTATTTTAAATCAGAACTTGTCCTTTGAGAACATTTTAGACAGAAATGGATTTGATCAGAGATGACTTTGGAAGCGTGTCTGAAATGAGGACACGTTCACATTGATCTAGTTTACTCTTAACTGGACCACGTCTGGTTCACTCGGGGCAAAAAAGTAAGCTGACTTAAGCGACTAGTCAACACATGGCGTGGCAAGGCAGGTCAAGTTTATTTGGAAATCACGGCCTATACACAAGGGAACTGCGAAACAAAGCAAGATAGAAACACTCGTACTTAAAGGTACTCTGTCATTTTTTATAGCTGCTCCAAATGAAAAAAACATGGTAACCAATATCAAATGTGACCTTTTTAAGAATATTTACCTCCACTGCGCCATCTTGAAATACAGTGGTTGATAAGGGACAAAAAGGAGTTTGACCTGGAGTTGGGGACCACTTTCAAAGACGACATATTGTCCTGTGAAGCTACCGTAGTATCGTAGATTACCACATATGATCTCGACGCTAGATGGGAGTAAAAACTACACTGTGTGCCTTTGTATAATCACACACGCTTTACTGGTGAGTTCACATCCACAGATAACGCATTTTTCTGCCCTGAGTGAACCAAAATCAGTCCAGTTAAAGGTGCAGTAAGCGGTTTTGTTAGCTTAGCCGTAGCACCAACTCGAAACCACTCCCCCTCCCCCTCGCCTCTCCACCAAACCAAACATCCAGCATTTTCTTTTCTTTGTCACAACATGGGTGGCAAATGTGGAATTTTCATTTTCTGTTAAGTCATTTTAGGTTTTAGAAAATCCGATAACTCAGGTGCGCGCACTCGCGAGAAACAGGAAGAGGGTGAAGGGGGTAAACGCATCCCATTGGTCCGTTGGGGATGAACGAATCCCATTGGTTTATTTTTATCGGTCCGCTCCAAAATATTTTTATACATTTTCGGAGACTATAGGCATCCGGTCAATTCCATTACTATTTGAAAACACTTGAAAACTTGTCTACTTTTAAGGTTTAGGGACATTTTCCCTTTACAATTTATGGTTCTCCCACAATATTTAAAAATATGTTTCTGGAAAAAATCACTGACTGCATCTTTAAAGTGAACCAGATCCAACAAGTGTGAACGCAGCCTGAGTAAATGCATGTCTCCAGTCTGCGCATAGCCTTTTTGAGAGTTTGACTGAGCAAAGGAGGCCCCACCAACAGCATCAGTCCCAAAACAGTCCAGGAAAACCCCCGCTCCTCTCTCTCTCTCTCTCTTTCTCTCTCTCTTTCTGCTCTGCGCCTATGACTCACCCCACCCACACAGATGACAGCGTTTCCACTTTTCCCTCATGCATTCCACTTTCCTACAATAACCCTGTTGCTACAATAACAGGTGGCGTACGTTCAACTGTGTTCAATGAGTTCCCAAATGAATTTAAACATCTATATTCGTATTAGATGTTTAACCGATCTGAGTAGACATCACTTTATTCAATGCAGCGCTGAGATTTATGCCTTGTCCTACTTGAGTGCAGCTTCTTGGCAAAAGTGTAGCTGGGCCAAATGGCTCTTAAAGTTACTATTGGCTACTGACCTACAGTAACCTCCCGTAAATGGCAGCTAATGTGCTACTGCCCTCTCGTGGCTGTATATGGAAGTGCAGGCTAAATATACTATAGTCTGTTGATGGCGTGCGAGTGGTTTTGAGTGGTGTTGTGTCTGTGTATATGTGTGTGTAGATGTATATTATTCACATCTGTGCAAATTGATTCAAGGTTCCACTTTATTGTTGGACACAAACATACGAGACACGCTCAACGTCAGGATAATAAAATCAATAAAATCAACATTCATTCTTATTATAAAATGTATATATGATCTTTGAAAACTGTGACCTGAGATTGAATGTACATATTGGCTGAAGAAAATAAACGACTACTACTTGTACTACAACATACTAGTAAAAGACCACAGTTAAAAAAACAGTATTTACACAATAAGCAACAAAGTACATATACTGTCTCTCAAATTATTGTCCTGTTTTTTTTTTGTATCCTTCTTTCTGTTCAGGCTGATTCTGGTTATGGCTCAGAGTCCAGTTTGCGACGACACGGCTCCATGCTGTCGCTCACATCAGCCACCAGTGGATTCTCAGCCACCTCCACCTCTTCTTTCAAGGTACTTTTGACTCACAACAGTCACTATGACTCTTTAAAACTGTATTTACCGGACCACAAGCCGCCATTTTCAAATTCCTCAAACTCTGTGGCCTATATAGCAATGCAGTAACATGTGTGTTTGTATTGTGTTGTAATACCCCCCGGGGTACAGGACATAATCTGTACTCGGCTCTATCAGCTGTTCTTTATGTGAACAGCAGAGAGAGCAGACAGGCATGAGATAAACAGGACTTGTTTTTTTATCTGATTAGAGCAGAATTCATGGACTCATTACTGTGACTCCATTCAGGTTTAATTAACACATGTTTCATTGTATGTGTGTGTGTGTGTGTGTTTTGTTTTTTTGTTTTTCTACACATCTTTAATCAATCTCATCAGATGTTAGTTACGTGTTACAGCTCACAACATGAAAACCTGTGTCTTATGTGTGGACATGATTAACTTTTTTATACATATGTGTGCTTAATAGTCCAAATACTGTAATTATTCATTAGATAATAAGGGTCTCTGAACATACACCATTTAAAGATAAACATGAGAGATAAAGGATATATATTAATAGGTTCATCTCAATTCATTTTATTTTTGTATAATCCTAAATCACAAAAGTAGTCGTCTCGGAGGACTTTACAAGTTGTAGAGTCGCCAACTCAGTGAATACAAAGGAGATGTAATAATAACAAACCGGTGGAGCCATTGGTCCATAAAGGGCAGACGACCAATGTCCATAAATGTTGATAAATGGTCTTAATGCCCTCCTGCATCGTAAAAGGAACAACTCAAAAACCAAGTGACTTTCATTCAAAACGTGTGAACATTTAAAATTTTTCAAGAATCTCCAACTTGCGGAGCGTTTTGGAGATTCTTCCTGATGTATGATTGTTGAATTATGAAACACTGTTGAACTGGTTGCTTCTTCTGTTTTAGAAAGGACACAGTTTGCGAGAGAAACTGGCCGAGATGGAGACATTCAGAGACATCTTGTGCAGACAGGTGGACACGTTGCAGAAGTATTTCGACAGCTGCGGTGATGCCGTGTGCAAAGACGAGCTGGAAAGAGACAAAAGTGAGTGGCACACAACACACAACGCATGTTAAAAAAATAACACATTCAATCATACCAAAGGATCAGCTTCATGTGGCATTATTCCAGTTTTTTCAGTTCATTTTAACTGGAATAAACCAAACCAAATTAGTCGGACATTTCTTTGTTTAGGCAAATTCTGTGGGGGTCAGGGTTGTAAATCTGTGTATGTTGTGACACCCAGTAGATTGGACTAGACCAGTGTTCATTGGATTTTTTAACTATAGCACACATTAGTCATTGTAACCAATCACACAGAACACCAGATAAGCTAAGATAAGATGGAATTTATTGATCTCACACAGGAGAAATGTACACGTCACATTTGGCATAGATAGAATCAGTCAGATTTGTGATTTTGTGTGGCACGGTGGCTGAGTTCGAATCCCGGTCGGAAAACGGGGCCTTTCTGAATAGAGTTTGCATGTCTGCGTAGGTTTCCTCCGGTTTCCCCTACCACTAAAAACATGCACAATAGGTATGAATGTAATGAACGATTGAATGGATGGTGTTTGGTCGGAGGCTTTGATGCTCCAGTGTGACTCGCTTCCGTCATCACTGTGTGGAGAAAATGGAATAACTATCTGAACTCTGAACATTGTAAAGTGCTTTGGGTGACCTTGGTCTGTAAAATGCGCTCTATAAATAAACATTACTTACTTACTAAAAGACAGAAGTGTGCAAACTTGTTAAAGGCAAAAAATAGGATACATTAAGTACAAAAAAATGGCGATTAAAGAAAGAGTGGCGAGAGCAGTGCAGGTTTTTCAGCAGCTGAAATAGTGTATATACAAAAATGCAACTCTGCAGCCTTTATTAACAATGTGTATCATATAGAAAATTGAAAGAGCGCAACAACAGTCTTTCTAATCTGACTTAGCGACACCAAATAACATGGACATAGCAGCAAATCACCCACTTTAGTTCTGATTTGAAAAGCCCAGCGGTGCACTGTCCTTTGGCTGAGTGTTTTAAGCCAGATGAGGAAGTGCCAAGCCTTAGCAATTCATCAATTAATAAAAAAAAAAAATAAAAAAAATAAAAACATAATTAGTAAGGATCACATGAGAGATAACAGGATTTATTTGTTTAGGTGACTTCCATGTATTTGTCAGTAGCTCGGAGACTGAACGACGGCAACGTTACTGTACCAGCGATAACATGAGGAAACACAAGTTCATGGAGACGTATAGCCACTTTTTAAATAGCACAGTTTTAAGTCTTTCTAGTTGTCTTTTTTTATTTTTATGAAGTTCTCAGATTGTTTTGAATGCCCTTGCTGCAGATGATATAGTAAAACCACCGCTCGTCACACACACAAATTACTTTACCTACTCCTACCTAATACAGAAATTGTATCTGTAGTGGAAAATGACTATTCAATTCCATTTATTTTTGTATAGCTCTGAATCACAACATTATAGTTACCTTCGGGGAATTTACAAAGCCGTCGATTCGCCAACGCAGATCAGAGAATAAAATGGTTTAAACACAAAATATATAGAAAACACATAGTTATTGGTCCATAGGGGTTAGGGTTGACTAATGTTGATATATGTCCATACATGTTGATATATGTTAGAATGTCCTGGATCATTACCACAATGTCACGTGGAGAGAAAAACAAGGAGACCCAAAATGCAAAACTCAAATAATGGATTTAATAAAAGTACTTCAAACTCAATATCCAGCAAAAACACAGGGACTGAGGACAAGAACAGAAACAGACGAGAAATGACAAATACGGAACAGGGAATGAAGGAGCACACAAGGCCAAATACAAGACTAAAGAAGACACAGGGATTTCCTAAACCGTGACACACAGTCCATTTTGAAATCAATCAATCAATCTTTATTTATAGGGCGCTTTTCCTGCACAGGGCAACACAAAGCGCCTCACAGTCCACACCACACAATGCACAAATCATCACCAAATACTCTTTCATTAGTTAAATAAATTCCACACAATAAAAGACACCCGTTTGCCTCAGATCATTATAAATAGCATTGCCATAGCATTTCCCATTCCAAAACAAACAAGCAAATACATCAGCTCTTTGCTTCTGCACATCTTGGCGTCTTGGATTAGTCACAATGATTGCTTGAATGACCACAGTGCAGCCGTTGTCCTGGTCGCCTCCCTCTCGGCATTCTGGGTATAAAACCACAGCATTGTCACTCCACCAGCTCAGCACTTTTTCTAATGAGCCGCTGAACTGGTGTCACTGGATGTTGTGCCGTACGAATGGAATTATTTGCATTGTTTTTGCCCTTTTCTAGTTCTGGAAGAGGACGAGGAGGATTTCCCCAGCACTCGAGCCGACGTATTTTATCACCACAATATAAATAGCAGCAGAGAAAAACGTAAGTTATGATCGACATTTTCTTATTATTTACTATCTATGTGTGTTGTAATGTAGTCTGAATGTGTGCCATTGTATATTTGTTTTTCAGTATTTCAAGCTTTGAGCCCAAAAGAAAATAATGGTATAGATTTCAAAGGTGAGGCAATCACGTTCAAGGCTACCACCGCTGGGATCCTGGCCACTTTGTCGCATTGTATTGACCTCATGGTGAAGAGAGAAGAGAGCTGGCAAAAAAGAGTGGATAAGGTGAGTAGCTTCTATAGCAGGGGCCAGATAAAAAAATAAAAAAAAATCTCCAGGAGCCGAAAATGTTTGAAGTTAATTTTTCTTATTTGTCCTATCGTCAACTGTTTTCAAGTGTCCAAAAAGTGCTATATAAGTACCATGTATTATTATTATTTGTATTATTATTATTATTAATATTTGTATCTGTGGCATTTGTAAATTCATGTTTTACATCATTATCAAAGTATTTAGACAAAAGGATTACTTTAATTTTACTTGAGTTTGGACATTATTTTGAAGTAGATTTTTCTTTGCAAAACTCATTTAATTACTGTATATTTGGACCAAACGAATACTGGGTTAAGTGAAAGTAATGAACAATATATAATTATGATTTGGGTTCAAATGTTGGAATAAGGTGAATTATATGGTTGGTTTTCATGAGAAGATTAGTTTTTAAACTGAGGTTCAACACATCATGGTAACCCCTTTTCAGAGACCACAAAAAATGGTCTGCTGGGCCGAATGTGGCTCTTGGGCCTTGTGTTTGCCACATGTATTCTGTAGGATGCATTCAGCCGTGTTGGAAAAACCTCCTTTCTTTTGTTTAATTGTGCTTCTTATTTGAAGGAAATTGAGAAAAGGCGAAGAATTGAGGAAAGCTACAAATCAGCCTTGAATGAATTTATGAAAAAGTCACATTTTGGAGGACCAGACTTTGAGGTAAAAGGTGTGACATCATTGTTCTATTTCAACATCCGACACGTTTAAAGTTTAATCTTCTGCCTTTTAAGGAAGGCCCAAACAGCCTCATCAACGAAGACGAGTTCTTTGATGCGGTTGAAGCTGCTCTCGACCGACAAGACAAAATTGAGGAGCAGGTATTCAATAAACAACAAACCTCCTCGGATTCAATTCACTGGGAATAAAGAAATATTATTATTATTATTTTGTATTTAAAGACAGAGAAGACCAGGATTCAGAGACCCAGCCCTGTCCCGACTCCAAACATCTACTCAAGCTCTGGATCCCACCGTTTCTCCGACAAGGTGATTCATATAATTGATTTACGCATTCTCATTATATACGGTTCTGGTCTGAGCAAGACTATATTGGTGGAGCTGAAGTTGGCTTGATGATACTGCGGCAGAGGGCCAGATAAAGTATTCCGACATGCCTGAATGAAAGACTAATATAAGATTTAAGTATTGACTTTGATCCTGAAGCCAGATCAAAGTCTCAATTCACATTTTCAGTATTATTTAGAGTTGGATTTGTGAGTGCTATTTAGGTTGAGTTGAGTTGAGTTTTTATCATATTTATTTGAGTTCAAAATACATCAAACATTATTTTAAAATGTTGGTACTTTGATTTTTCAACATATCATTCATTAACAATTATTTATTATAATATTGTCCCTGATTCAAACTCGAAAAGCGAGTGGAAGGAAGAAAAAAATGTCAGATTCCCACCCCTGTGACTATCCATTTTGGTCAGATACATATTGTGTAGTTTTGATAACTTTTGCCACATTCCCTTTTTAGTCAACTAATTGATCAAATGCAAAAGCAGCCATTAAAATACTGCCCTACATCACATATCACAGAAATCCATTTTGCCCGTTATGTTTGGTGGCACCATAGACTGTATATTAGGAGTGGACTGATCCTAGTGTTGTTGTCACCACAGTGATAGCCTTAGTGCGAAAGACGCCAATTTGAACACAAATTTCCTTATTTGGTCATTTCTTCCACCCGCAAATGAAGGCATCTGATTGGTCAGCAGTATGGCTCATATCCGGATACAAAGACAATATCACTAATTAAACCACTGATTTTTTAAACCTGAAATAGTGATTGTGACGCAAACGGTTACTAAGCTAACTGAAACGGTTACTAAGCTAACTGAAACGGTTACTAAGCTAACTGAAACAGTTACTAAGCTAACTGAAACTGTTACTGAGCTAACTGAAACGGTTACTAAGCTAACTGAAACGGTTACTAAGCTAACTGAAACGGTTACTAAGCTAACTGAAACGGTTACTGAGCTAACTGAAACGGTTACTAAGCTAACTGAAACAGTTACTGAGCTAACTGAAACAGTTACTGAGCTAACTGAAACGGTTACTAAGCTAACTGAAACGGTTACTAAGCTAAGTAAAACAGTTACTAAGCTAACTGAAACTGTTAGTAAGGTAACTGAAACTGTTAGTAAGCTAACTGAAACGTTTACTAAGCTAGAGGAGTTCAATGAGCACTTCCCCTTCTTTTAGCTATAGCACGTTAGCATTGTCCATTTATATACAGTCTACGGTCGCACACTTTGGTTTCTTCACACACTTGTTTTTATGCATTGTTTCACATCTCATTTCCCGTCTTTATTTGATCGTTAACCCATCCTATTGTTGCCCGTTACTTTAGCGTGTTACTCAGGCCTCCCCTGCTCCTCCCCGTGACGTCCACAGATTCAGCTCAGAGGTAACCGACCGCTGAGACTTCTTCTATGCTCGTAAACACTAAGCTGCTACTTCTGCTGCACTTTTATACACTGCTTGGCTGGAACTATCTAAAATATGCTGTGATTAACATTTGTTCATTTCTATGGAACAGTGTGCGCTCAAAACATACACTCATCCACCCTGAACTATGGTGTTTCTAGTCTTAGGGGAATTCTGGAGCACCCGGAGGAAACCTTATTATGAGGACAAGACGATTAAGAGATCCTTTATTCGTCCCACAGTGGGGAAATTTCAGTGTTGCATCACCAGTTACATTAGGAATGAGTAGCACACATATAAATGAACAATATATAAATGAACAATAACTATACTAAATCAAATCAAATCAAAACTATTATGAAGAAACAACAAGTATAACATCTCTATCTTTAGCACACACACACACACCCATCAGTACAAAAACTCTGACTTTATCATAATAAAAAAGAATAAAATCTCTACGTTTTAGCATATTAAGAAGCAAGCTATTATTTCCAATACAATCAAGCAATCATGGCTACAATACTTAATTTCATATTTGTGTTTTCAAGCATTTCTCCAGTATGTAAGCCACTTCCTGCAATTAACCCGAATAAAAAGAAAATCCAATGACTCATTCATTTAAGACATGAAAATACAAATACCATATTCATGAGAAAGGAAAGAAAAGCAGCCGCAAAATGATGTCTTTTCTTTTAATTGATTTAAACTCAAAATATATAAACATAGAGTCTTAGCTTGAGCGTGCATCTCCAGAGACATGACTCATACTTCTCTTGCTTGTTTCCTCTGTTAAATCTAAATATATATCATGGGCCAAACTGGGACTTTCTATGTGGAGTTTGCATGTTCTCCCTGTGTCCGGGTAGGTTTCCTCCAGGTGTTCCGAATTCTCTTACCTGTAAAAACATGTCCAATAGTTCGCTGGAATATTCCCTGTCTGGGGCGAGGACTCCCCTGAAAGTCCCTGAAAATTCAGATTATTGTTATTATTATATTGACCTTTCTGGTTCAATAAAGGTCAATATAATCCTAATTTTAACGCTGGGGGCAGCATTTTCATTTCATACCACAAAAAGAAATCCTTGCTTTCAAAACAGTTCTAAACTCTAAAATAAGCTCTTTCTTACTAATTTTCGAATAAGACAAATATGGCATGTTCTGGTATGATTTGTTCACAATGTTATACTTTAAAAGGCTTTCCCGGGACAATTTCAAACGTATTAATTACTTGAAAAAAGTGAGGTACCAAAGCTTTATCTGTCAAATAATTATCTCAACATCTCTAGTCTGTTCTTATTTAAACGCATGGTGTGACGTCGATGCCGAGTCTAAATCTCGTTTGTGATGGAGGTCGTCTCTTGTTTTCGAAGGTGGAGGAGATGGTTCAGAATCACATGACCTTCTCCCTCCAAGACCTCGGCGGAGACGCAAACTGGCAGCTCGTGGTCGAAGAGGGAGAGATGAAGGTAATGTGTTCTTCTTCCTTCAATTATTGCATGTTTACCACTAGAACTCCCAGACCTGTCAATTTGACGGCTTTTAGTTTTGGAAATGTGGTTTCTCAGCTCATGTATGTTATGGTTTGGTTTTTATTTTTACAGGGATAGTGTGCAATAAACATTAGGGAGGAGGAGAGATGCATTGTACCAGGTTGTAGCAGCAGTGCTAATTTACACCTGCAGTCCATGAGCAGGTTGTTGTAAAACAGTAAAAACAAAAGTAGATGGATACATGACCATACACGAAGCAGAAATTACAATTTAATTTACCATATAAGTTATAATAAAACCATCCAGCCTCCATTCTTCACTTTCTCTCGATAAATACACATTCATATACAGTAATGAGCTCACACACACACACACGCACACGCACACACATCACAAATGGGAACAAATTTGTCTTTCCAAGCGCCATGTTTTTGTCAGGCGTGCGAATACTTGTAGATCAGCGCAGTGACGACCTCAGTTGGGAGTGAGAAAGCCGCCCGACTGAAAAGAAGAAAAGAGGTCCTACATTTTGGAACTCTGCGCTCTCCCCGTGCTGTAGATTTACATGTTTAAGTCTGTCTTTATCTTTAGGTAGTAATTATTTTTGATGAAATTATCTTTTAACTCCCAGACTCACTTGTTTATTTCCACCAGTGAGGAGCAGATGCTAGTTACCATAGCAACATACTGTTTACTTGCTACCAGTTAGCATTTAGGCTTTCAACAAACTGTTTTTCTGTATTTCAAGCATGGATCTATATAATATTGATTTCAAGTTATATCCACCAGTTTTAGCAAAGTGGGTAAAGGTAATGGAAATGGAAAACTTGCTTGATTTGAATGGGAGCCGTCAAAATTACGGCCCTGGGAGCTCTGGTAGTTTCTGAATTCTGGAAAACCTATTGTTAACTTACATTTCTGTAAGATCTCTGTCGTAAAGGGATTAGTCAAACTATTAGTCAGTCCTTTGCTATTGTTAACTGTCATTTTAACGTGTGTTGAATGGTTCAGGTGTACAGAAGAGAAGTGGAGGAGAACGGGATTGTGTTGGACCCATTGAAGGCCACACATTCAGTGAAGGGAGTGACTGGACATGAGGTGTGCCAATACTTCTGGGATACTTCTTACCGCAACGACTGGGAAAGTGAGTTTTTTGCCCTTTGATTACATTTGTCTCTTGCCAAAAGATGCAGTGTTGGGGAGTACCGGAGTATGCATGTACTGGGAATACATACTCACAATACATTACATTTTCTGTTTGTGGCATTCAGAATACAGTTACAGTACTTTCTGGACTCTTAATCACACCTGTGTAGAAAAAGATAAGATTTTATTGATCTCACACAGGAGAAATTTACATGTCACATTTGGCATAGATATAATTACTCAGAAGTGTGCAAAAATATAGTCTGTTCAAGATATATTAAATAAGTGACAATTAAAGAAACAGTGGCAATAGTAGTGCAGGTTTTTAGTCCTGCACATTTAGTCCTGCACTTTATTATAAGTTGCAGGTGTATTTGTATGGCATGGTTTGGAAGTGCTTAACAAAACAAGAAAAGAAACACAAAAATCACACATGGTTTTGAAATGATAAACACTGACACTACATTCAAAGAGTAGAGATACAAGTCAGTTCAGAGTCAGCTCTAGCAAACTGACAATTCATACATTGACCGCGTATAGTATAGGCCGCAGAGTTCAGAGTCCGAAAAAAGTAGTTGAAGGAATACATTTTGGTTTTTGATCAAGCAATTTAGAACAGATACTACCACAAAAAACCCTAATTAAAAAGTTGCTTTTAGTGCAAATTGCAATTGTGTTTTATCAGTTTTCTAATAGACAATAACAATATATGCTTAATAAGTTTTCTACATTTTCACATTATATATTAATTATTAGACCAGATAAATACTCTTTAATTGCCTGTAAGTCAATACATTTTTAAACGTTTCTCCCCAACACTGGCAATAATATTCTGATTTTATTTTTTGTAAATGGACAATTGTTTAATCTGTTTTATTTCCCACAGCCACAATTGAAAACTTCAATGTGGTGGAGACATTGTCGGATAATGCCGTGATCATTTACCAAACACACAAGGTACGTCCATGGATGTTTGTATTGTAATGTGAACGAACACACACAGAATCACAACAGGAAGTGAGAGTGAGAGATTTGAACTGCTTTGATTTCAGCGCGTGTGGCCTGCGTCCCAGAGAGACGTCCTCTACCTCTCCGCCATGAGAAAGATGGACGCCAACAGTGAGAATGACCCTGACACCTGGCTGGTCTGCAACTTCTCTGTGGACCACGATGATGCACAGGTGAGCTTTCTTCAGGAGGGAAATTGAAACATGTGTTCGTTAGGATAAGTAGTTATAAGTAAGTTTGTGTTTTATGTTTTCTCGAACAGCCCACCAGCCGATGTGTTCGTGCCAAAATTAACATTGCCATCATCTGCCAGACCTTGGTCAGTCCACCAGAGGGAGACAAAGAGATTAGCCGAGATAATATCACGTGTAAAATTACATACGTGGCCAACGGTATGAGTTACATTTCAATGCATGTTGTGAATGTGCAGAATTTTAAATGTATTTTTGTTCTTTTGTCCTTGTAGTAAATCCTGGAGGTTGGGCGCCTGCATCGGTTCTGAGGGCAGTGGCCAAGAGAGAGTACCCCAAATTCTTAAAACGTTTTACTTCGTATGTCCAAGACAAAACTGCTGGGAAACCCATTTTATTTTGAAGAACTCCCATGGAGAAATGTCAGACAGTTAGATCTTCTGAAACTTGAAAGTCTTTTTATTTATTCACAAAATAGTTTGGTTCTCGTCCTGTTGGCCCCATAGTGCTGCAGACGTACTGATACTGTCCACCAATTTCAGCTCCCTGTTTCCTGCAGCATTGTGAGGTCCTTTCTCCCGTTCATTAGATAAAATAGCATCTAAAAATATTAAATTTATTTCAGTTGTCAGTCATAGGTCCCCGTGTTTTATCATCCTGAGTTGTTTGCATAGACCGAGAGAAATGTAAAATTAGTTTGGTATAAAAGTTCATTCTAAAATGTATATGTAAAAAATAGTCTTTCTCCTAAAAGTTTTGACTGAATTGTAAAATGTAATTTTGTACTGGTTTGCCTCTTTTTCTGAACACTGACTATAATGTAATATATTTAAATGAAAGTCCAGAGGGTTGCACTTAAGCTTCAGACCCGATGACGTTGGACTTCTGCTCATCCCGCGAATGAAGCGACCTGTTGACTGGTTCTGACGGAGGGATGTGGAAACGGTTTCTTTTTGCTAATGATGTGCAGAGCGCAAACATCAAACATCAGTAGTGGTTTTAGTGTCGGGCTGTTGTGTTTGTTACAGAACTCATCTGCCAAAGGCAAATGTGAGCATGAACCTGGCTTTAAAAACTGCACTGAAGTTCACAACTGAATAAAAAACCTACAAAACCATGTGATGCTGTGATTACTGTCACATACCGTCTTAAATGTCATATTTCTAAAATATATAATTATAATGTATATAGAGAGAACTGATGAATGACGCAATTAGTAACTTTATTTCACACAGCAAGTTTTCAGCATTGAGTCAATAGTTTCTTTCACACAAGAACGCTTAAAAACACAATTCTCAGTCATTTCTGTTTATGGCAACAATTGTTTTAGACAATGGACAAAATTAAGGTTTTATGGTAAAACATATTTGATCTTCACTGAAAATACCTGAAGAGTCTGACGTGAATTTCAGAATCTGATTACCATAGCAAGTTGATTCCAACTTGGCAAAGCACCGTTATGGAAGATTTGACTTAACGCCTAAATAGTGGTTTTTAAATGCAGTAGTCGACTTTCACATCTATGTTCATAATCAAAGTTTGTAAATGGGACAGGAGCACTTTAAATGTGTGTAATATAAATAACTAGTTTTTCTTTGAAGGCACCAGTTCTGAGTGTTAGTCTTTAAACAGGAAATTCACATCCCATTCAGTATTTCAGATTATCGCAACCATTTTATAGCTTCAGGATCAGGTGAACTGCAGTGAGCTCACAGTGTGTGTAGGTGGAATGTGAAACGTTGTATTCTGTTTGGTAAACTACCACATACCTGATTAGCAAAAAGAGAGGTATCCCTTACTGAACTAAGAAAGGGACAAGTCGTCCTTTATAAACTGGAAACCGACACAGGTATTTGTAAGGGAATACAACACATGAGTGAATCCTGTCGAGTGACTCGGCTCTACTTATCACTTCATTTTTTAATTCTTTATGTATAATTCTGCCCTAACTCTTGATGAGCACCTGTGCTGTGAACATTTCTTAACAATAAACAGGATGCAGACCGGGAGAGAAAGAGTTCCATGTTTAACCAACATGGTTTCATTATGTTAAACCAACAGATCACATTATTCTCAGTCAGGGGGTAAAAAATAAACCCTAACACATACTATTGCAACATTATCATTTTAGAAACAAGGGGTTTTCTTTCTCTCACACACACACACAGACTAAATTAGTTCCTAACATGTCCATTGCAGACCAGGGTCAAGATGGAGGATCAGACTTTTTTGTCACAGCGTTGTCTAGTGTGGCACAATGCATTCCAGCCAAATTTGTTGTGGATCTAAGAAGAGAGAAAACGATGGGGTAAAAGTCCACATGCATCTTTATAAATATTTGGTGAAAATGTGTTACCTATTGTGCGTCATGTGGCTTTTAACTAGATGTCCAGCAGCTAGAGCAGCCATAAGAGAGAGCTCCCCCGCCAGGACAGTGGCACACACTACTCGAGCTAACTGACGCCCATTTTCACCAGGATGGTTTGGACTGGTGCCTTGGACACCCAGCATCTGGGGGGAAAAAAGTGGGAATTGAGTAAAAGATGGATAATGTAAACATGTTATGTAAATGAATGGATAAATAGACATACTTTTAAACAAGCTTGTTGTGGATTCAAATTGGTGCCTCCTCCCACAGTACCCAGCTCAATAGAGGGCATTGTACAAGTGATGTACAGATCTTCTCCTGTTCCAGCACGCTCCATCTGCGTGATGCAATTAGAACTACCCACAGTCTGTGCAGGGTCCTATACAGGGAATAAATAGTAAAATATGGAATCCGTGGACACTGGAGGAGGGTTCATGTCATGACTGACCTGTCCACATGCGATGTAGATGGCGGTTACAATATTAGCTGCATGAGCGTTAAAGCCTCCTATGCTTCCAGCCATGGCTGAACCCACTAAATTCTTATTGATGTTCAACTCGACCAGAGCAGCCGTACTGCTCTTTAGGACCTGCACAAGTTCAGAGTGTTAGAATGAAGTTACTGATTAAACTGTACTGAGAGAAAACCACATTACCTCTCTGACAACCTTTTCTGGAATAGTAGCTTCGCACACCACAGACTTGCCGCGGCCCAGAATCCAGTTGAGAGCAGCAGGTTTCTTATCAGTGCAGTAGTTTCCACTTATTGACAGCACCTCCAGGTCTGGGAACTGCTGCTTTAGTCTGTGCAGAGCATGCTCAGTGCCCTGGAAAATAAGCAGTTGAGTTGGTTTTGGGAAAACACAATATTCTTTGAAAAAGAAACCGGAAAACCGCATTACCTTAGAGAGCATATTCATGCCCATAGCATCTCCCGACTGTGACTGGAAGCGAATATACAGATTTCTTCCAGCTAAGCCCACAAACAACTTCTTAAGGCGACCAAACCTAAAAATGTAGGCATCGATTAGATGATTTGCATGTCATAACTGCATAAAGTATAAAATGAGGGCCATCGAACCTGCTCGTCCCATCAAAGGCCTTTTGCAGAACACTGAAACCTTCTAAACTTTCAAGCCAAAGTTTGGCCTCTGCAGCACGACAGGCAGATGGTAGTCGCACCACTGGACCCCGAGTCATGCTGTCAGCCAGAATGCGGCTACTACATCCTCCACTTAGCTAAACAGATACACATTAAATTACACTTTTTTTCCCCCATATAAACGGTTTTAAAAAGATTTGAAGCATTAACTGAAAATATCAAAGGGTAATTCTGAAATTTTCCTGTCTGCTGGTCCAGTCCTGGTCCAGTCCTGGTCCTATCAAACTGGATTTTTACCATTTGATTGAGTTGCACTTTGTGCACAGCAAGAAAGCCTATACCCACTATTAACTAATGCTGAAGTTATTGGAACAGTTGAAGTGCATGAAGTTTCAAGAGGCTGTGTCTGCAGTGATAACCAGTGTTGGGAGTAACATGTTACAAAAGTAATGTAATTAATAGAAAGTATTTCTTTTTGCTGTAACAAGGTAATGTAAGGCATTAAAAAAAGGGTCATATGTACATAATGTATTACGTTTTTGACTTGCCAAATACTGGCGATAACTGTCGGAGAAAAGTACTTACTGAGACAGCTCGGCATCCTCGATTAGCGCTGGCCACAAGACACCCCTCTGTGGTCGCCAGGGGAACATAAAACTGTTTATCGTCCAACAGAAGAGGGCCTGCAACTCCGACAGGAACTGGCATGTACCCAATGACGTTTTCACAGGAGTTCCCCATCACCTGCACATTGATCACATTATTAGAATACACTTGAGCGACTGAGAGATGCATACCAAAGTGTAGAGCCAACCTTGGAATAGTCATAGTTTTGATAAGGCAGGTGTGCCAAGGCAGACGGAGATGGCAAATGTGAGGAGAGCAACTCTCTTCTGATGGCCACTGCTCTTTCTGGGTTCTCCAGAACTGTTTCTAACTTGTAATTTTGGATTTTGCGTAAAGAGACCAGGTTCATAACTTCTGCATCACTAAGACATTTAGGACCCCGCTGTGAAGCAAAAAAAAAAATGTCAGTGGTAGTGAATCAAGAGGTAGCTAATCATTTGAATCATGTGAAATAAACTTACATGAGGATCAGAGAGCACAGACAAACATTCTTCTACGGCTCGCGGCTCTGACTCAGAATGTACTTGCTCGTCACTCGAAACTGCAGCGTTGTCCACAGAGTTCGCCACACAATTAAGTTTAACTAGAAACAAATATAAGAAAAATGATACAATGGCTGAAGACTTTCAGTACAAAAAAACATAGAAGTCAAACGTATAATAATGAAATTAACAAAATTATAAAAAAATATAAAAAAGATATATTAATAAAAAGAACCACACGCACATCAGTGTTTGCATTGCCAAAAGTAAGTAAATGAGAAAAGGCACTTTGGTGAGTAACTCAAAAAGTACAAAAAGGTACAATTGTCAAGAGTAATAGACCCCATGAGACGGTGAGAACAATAGAAAATGGTATAATTTGAGGAAATTAGAACATCTATTCTTCTGCCGGAGAAGTTCTCTGCCAAAATCTGGCAGAAGAATAAACTCTATGTGACTGCTTAAGTCCATGCAGCCACTTAATAATAATCATACATTTCCAGAATTATAAAATGAATGATGGACAATAATCACCTGCGTCCTGGCCTGGTCCTGGGGAAGCTACAGGCGTTTGGTCTGTGACGAAGTCGTCAGGAACAATCGGTGTCTTCAGGACCGAACCATTTCTTATACAGCAGCCCTCTTCTTTCAAAGGTTTGTGTGGTGGTGCGGAGCTGAGCCTCTTGAGTGACAGAGATGACTCGGTCTCCGTTTGTTCAAAGAAAACATATTTGACAGCAAGAAGCAGGGCAAGACTCAGAGTTATAACTTGCTCTAAATCCATACTGTAAGACACACACAGGAAGATGATTATTATGACGTTAGTAAAAATATGTATATCAGGATGAAGAGGACTGCTGCCCAGTTCCTCAGACTCACTTTAATGTCAATATTGTGTACTTTTACTAAGTTAAGTGAACCAAAATTACTACATCTATGACTTCAAAATTGTCGACTAAAGATTCTGATTCTTCATTAAAGACCTTATGCCGGGTTTGATTTATTTAGAAATAGTTTTAATACCATTTTATTTTAGAAGAGAACTACTAAAAGTTTCAAAATCAGTGTGATTTTCCCCCAAATTTTGTGATCTCCCCAAATCAAAATAACCCCATAGCAACGCCCTTAGAGACGAAAAAACTTCACAGCCCTTTGTGACGTCAAGAGTGGGTACGTTTCAACGCTGTAAGTTGTTTACAATTTGGTATTCGTTCTTTTTTCGCGGATATTCAAGATGACAAGGCCGTGTACAGCGAGTATGATATTACTACTAAATTTTAAGACTTCGTTGTCACTGAGATAGTCCAGTGGTTGTGTCGATGGACTGCCAATCCAGAAACTGGGGTTCAAATCGCAGCTCAGGCACCTTTTCACTCTCAAAAGGGCAATTTATGTGTAGTGAGCAATTGTCACCTGTAGAGGGCAGTATTGTGTTGGGCATCAGTGGAGAGAAGAGAGAAAAGGCAGTCCTGTGGCATAGATCCATGGTTTTCAATGCATGGGCGTTACCCGCTATGACGTCACACACAGGTTAGAGCATAGACAACTTAAAATCATGAAAAACACGTTCTTTTTATAAAATATAGGAATTTTTTTGCCAGAATCTATTTCAGATCGACATTGTCATGCAATTTTGATATCCACAATTTTTTTTTTAAACCCGGCATAAGGTCTTTAACATACTTATTTATTTGAACATAGCGTCTCTGACTACTACGAATACACCCTGCTTTCTTGCACCTGCTGAGTTGAAAGGGCCATGACGTTCCACCAGAGCGCCGAGAGTCCGACATGGATCCTTTTCCAGTACGATTATTTTCTTGGTTTTCAGATGCAAGTCTTGTATGTGCATGAACCAGGGCCAAACCAAGGGACTAGGAATAATGCAAAATATTGTATAAAAGGCAGATAAGGTCAGCAAAGGTCTACCCTTGCAAATGATTGAGAATAAAATAATAAAATAGATATAGTCACCATTATTATCTTAACTCTTTGGGTAACAGGATTGGGTTTATTATCTTCCTCCTCAGCCATCACACGAGCAAAGTGACTCAACTGCCAAACAGGGCGGCCTTCGCTACTTTCCCTCGACAACTGTACAAAAACAGACACAGAGATATATTTAATAACTCCACAACAAATAGGCTAAATGTAATTCAATAATGATCTACATTTATTTTGAAAGATGCCTTACCTCCAAGACGAGTGAGACACAAGCAGGAAAGAAGGTCATGAAGACAAAATAGTTGGCCAGAACAGACATGCAGCTAAAACAGCACATGATTTCCAGTTGAGGCACCCCTATGAACAGAGGCATTTCATATTTCTGGATGATTTCACTGAATCCATTAATATCTTACCTGACATTGTCCCGATTCCAATAACCAGACATTCAACCAATGCGTCTAGAGTGAAGGTGGGCCCGAGAATGCCCATGCCTTTGGAGATGTTCTCTCTCACCTCCTCCTGCAGTCACCAGTGGAACACTTTTATATTTCCATCAACTACCATAGTTTGTTACAACAGACATTGGAGACAAAAGCTCACCTGGGAATTTGAGCTCAAGGCAAATTTGGCCAATGCACAGGCTTTGGAGAGGTCAATGAGCAATAGGAAAAATGGCAGGGCTTCACTATGGAGATCACAAGACATGTCATCAGGTAAGATGCCCTACTGGTTGGTCCCACAGAGAAGATATCTCAGGGATTATAGGGAATAACAAGAAAACTATAGACCAACTCAAACCTCCTGCTTAAAAATATTTAGTATGTATGCAAGAAAACCCAAAGAAAAATACGTTCTCTATGCAAGATTAGAAATAGGGGTTTCAAACTAATCCTTATATGAATGGCAGTTTAGGTTTTAAGTAATATACTGATACAGACACAATAAATAGCAGATAATGCGACTGAAGAAATCGGTTGCATTGTAACGGTCATCCCTATCATTCAAAACATTTACTAAATATTACAATTAGCAATTAAAATTATCTAAAAACACAACCACATAATGAGCCATGGTGCAGCTTAATAATAAATACACATAGCAAAACATGTTTTCTTATCAAAGCATTATATTGCATCATAATTTAAATGTTGTAGATTGCTTATTAACACTTACTTGAGGCCTGTTAGCTCTTTCCCAAAAAAGTGTATGACCACAGTGCTAAAAACAAAGCTGGAGAAGATGGTAAACAACCCTGCAATACCTAGAGTGAGAGTCGTGAGAGTTGTTATAAATGTATAAGTACAAGTATACAAGACATTTATATTGAATTTAAAAGTATTACTGACCCAATATATACTTAGATCCCAGTTGGCGAAGTGTTTTAAATTGGATATAGATGTAAACAATGGCTGTGCAGCGTGTAACTGTTAGTATAATAATGCTGCCGACTTGGGTTTTCTAAAAGAGAACAAACCAAATGTTACACAAACCTAAAAGTGCAGGTCCAGAGGTGCATGTCTATGTTTTAAGCCTTGTGTCCTTTGGTCCCATCCTTGTACCAGTTTTATTTATTTTTTACAAGACATTTGTTACCATTTTGAACAATTTGAACTACCACCAAAGCATAACATTGTAGAAACCAGAGAGAGATATTTATCATAGCTCTCCCCTAACCATGCATGCATGTCTTTTTGTGAGACTTCATATGCACTTTACCTCTTGAAGTTTGGGGCAGTCATCCCAACTGCAGACCTGGTTGCTTGTCGCCAGGCTGTTCATGGACATTAAACAGACTGTGAGAGCCAGGGTGCCCACTATGACCTCCCACGGGTGGGACGCCACCACGAGCCCATGGAGTCTGAAGAGACGAGCCAACATAGTGACAGGAGACAGTCCGATGACTGAGGTCACACCCTGGACAACACACCCAGGGACAATACGAAGAATATAACATTACTGGTAAATACGTAGCAGTAATAGCAGTAGTACTGTTTTCAGAATGTCACTGCATCATATGTGTCAAGTATTCACATTTGAATCAATGTGTCTATCACATAACATTATAAGAAAATGGCCGTAGGTCTGTTAGCATTGACGTTAGCTTAACTTTCCAATGCCAAACTTCACACCGGAAACAGTGGGCGAGTTGTATTATGCGACACATAATAAAAGACATGTAATCCCATCCAAAAATAAGGATCGTGTACTCACCTTAATAACAAATCCATCTTAACAGTGTTGAAAATGTTGGTTTACAAAATCACTACTGTACATGACAGTTAGCTAACAGCAACATGGCGGCGACTCTGACGAAGTGTGACGTAATCACCGTGTTCAACGCAGCTGCATTTGTTACTGGCCTCTAGCGCAGAGGAGTGGGAGCGCAGGTATAGGACAAACCCATGGAAAGAGCCATACGTTTTGAACGAATGAAGACATTTCAGTCATTCAGGGAGAAAAGATTTAGTTTACTAAACGTTCTGACTTTGTTTTGACAACCCGAATAAAAATAAGTCAATGGGGCCCCTGTCAAATTTGTTACAGAGTTGCCATGGCTATGACAGAAATCCTCAGATCTCATCTTCAGCTCTAATACAAACTGTCTATATTTAGACATATGTGCAGTGCAGCTGCAGTATTTGAACACGTATTTGAGTGTGTTCACAGTTAAGTGTCAATTGAAGTATCTCGACTTTAAAAGGTTATAACTTAAAAACTAAAATTACTATCATAGATTGGAAAAAAGATTTCAAACACAGACACATCAAAGAGATAGTGTGGATAAAATCAAAAGGAAAGATTGTCAAATATATTTTTGGTGACATTTTAAACAACAAAATCAGCCTCTTTTTTGACTATTCTACTGTGACGCCAGTTAAATAGAAAATAAAATGTCCTCAGTCTGAAAAAGCGGCAGATGAAATCCCACAATATTTACATGGTTAACACAACATCAGGAAATCACTTGATATGAAAAGGAATCGTTAAAAAATAATAAATTAATTAAATGACCCTTGAAAAATGTATAACGGACGTGATGAGGACGGTCCTCTTTTCTCTAAAATTTCAACTTGAGAAAGAAAAAAATCTTGTCTGTTTTCACATTTAATTGGTTGACTAAATGAAAGTATCACTTTGTTTCTACTCAGTGTAAAAAAATAGAATCTCTGAATCAATTGTGGACGTCTGAAAATACCTATCAAACTTCCGCAAAGCTCATTCCGTCAAATCATCACGTCCGTTAGATAAAATAAACAGGGCCGCTATAGGAAACTTGTCTAATGTATAAAACAGTTATGTTCTAGCAACTTCTAATGGACAGAGGAGGTGTTTGGAAACATGAAAAACATAAAATATCTTATTATTATTAAAATCTAATTTTTGGCCTTTTGTCACACTTTTGTGCCCTATAGTGTGAACAAGCCCATTTCTAAAGCTCAGTTGCTCAATTGGTGGAGCCTTGGTCTTTGAACCTAGAGGTTGTGGGCTCAATCCCCCCATGACTCCTGCTCCCTCTGATGTGAACCTGGGCAAGACACTTAACCCCACTTTGCCTGATGTGCCTGCATCATTGCTGGAATTAGCAGAACATCAAAGATGCCAACATTAGACTAACAAAACTACTTTTTCCAGAGAAAAGTAGCGTAACGCATTAACGTCACTTTAGTAATGTAAAGCCGTTTATTTTTTGTTTTTGACTTTTTAGTTATGGGTGAACAAGACTTCCTGTAGCAAACTGCTTTGAAACACTGCGTTGGAGCACGTATCAAAATAAGTCGCTCATGTGAAACACGAGTCAGTGTCTTTGGACTCTACAGCAAAACCGGGAAAACCTGCTAAGAAGTACAGATGATGAGTGAGAAACCTTCCTTTGCTTTGACTAATCCCTGTACGACTGAGGGCTTACACAAACTTTGGACTACAGCCACTTTGCATTAAATGTGCAGTAGGTCAAAGCGTTTCATTGGCTCCCGCCACAAGAACAGTTTCTTCCCCTCTGCTGTTGGACTCTTGAACACTTCTTAACCTGTCCCCCCGCCCTTTATAAAGTCACTTTACTGCCCATCATACGTCACTTTACTTCACTGTACTGCTGTCACCTTACATTGTGTGCACCATGTGCACTTGTATATTGTAAATAGTAACTGTAACTCTATTTTAAATTTAAATTTATTCTTTAGAAGTGTTTTTTATTCTTATTTTTATTATCTCTTTTTGACTGTTGCACTGAGCCAAAGCAATTTCCTAGTCTGTGACCTCCTGTTACTTACGTGGCAATAAAAATGATTCTGATTCTGATTCTGATTCTGATTCAATAGTTTTCCTAGCTTTGAATTGAGTGTTAGAGGCCGTACTAGAATTTATTAATAAAATATACGGCTCCTCACAGTAGACGCAGAAAGCTCCATTGATTTGAATGTAATCTCATTATTTCCACTGCAGTGTAGCCACACATAGATCCATGGTGTAACAATAAACACATTAAATGTTAATACATTATACATATACATTCTTAATACACGTGCACAGAGGTTTTCAGAATTTTCTGTTCACATTTTCATGAAAAAACACTGTTTTAATGCGACAATATGCGACCGCTGTAAACCTGGATGTAACGATAAACATTAATAATACATTTTAGGATGCATTTTCAGAGGATCTGATTCATGAATTTAGGTTGAGTATATATTTGGGTCACTAACTGCTGAAGTTTCAAATTCTATGTTCAGTTTTCATGTAGTTCGAGAGAGTTCTAGTTTTGAACGTCCAGTTATAGATAGCTAGCAGGGCTGTTACTCGCCGAGGTTGTCCTCCAGTATGGCTGCCGTGGCTGCTAGTCACGTGACCGTAGGATCCCTCTATATATATAGAGCTGGGATGTTTGGGCTCTTGGTTGGTGTCAACTCTCTATGCAACATGTAGCAGGCCTAATGCTGAGGCCCAGAGCCTCTCTCTCTCCTGCCATCTCTCCTTGGGGTATGTCATTTTCTTTTATGTCTTGATGTATCTTTTTATAATTCAGGGTCATTTAATGTCCTCATTTATATCTATAGGTTTGGGCCTAGTACAGCAACAGTTACATGTTCATGATAACACCACTTATCTGTGTTTCTGGTGTAACCTGTATCCTCACCTCTTTGCACCTCTTTTTTTTCTTTTTTCTATTCTAATCTGTTTTTAACCCGTCACATCCACGGACTGCAGGATAAATAGTCCTAGTTTTTCACAGTTGATTTGTCGTAAATTCTCAAATTTTGTTTGTGCATTGCTTTTCACCTGTTGTCCCTCTATCTGTTTGGACGCGCTGGTGGGACTCGAAACCCTGACGCCAACTCCCGTTGGGAGTTGGCGGTTCTGTGACACCCCTCGAGATGATTGTTGTTGTGATTTTGGGCGATACAAATTTTCTTATTTGATTTGATGTGTGTGTTTTGGGTTTGTATGTGCATGGTGGTGTCTTTTTTTTCAGGTGTGTAACACAGGTAACACAAGTGCCGGTAATCAGCTCAGTACACTCAGAATTAAGCAGCAGAAGCACACCACACTGTCTCTGTGTCCTGTCACTTTGTTGTCCAGGTGAGCTAGAGAGAAGCTGCGGGTGTGTCCCAGGAGAAGAGTGGGTCTAAGCAAAACCACCAAACTACAAACTGCTGTATAGCTGTATATATAACTGGCTGGTCAGATCCACCCCATCCCTCCCCCAATTCCCCTCCTTGCCACTAACAAGCACACCTGCACTTTTGGACACTTTTATATTTGACTCTTTTTTTTTTGTAACAACTTTTTAGGGTGAACTTTTGGTCATCCTAAAACTGGTTGTTCAGACAAAACCTGCTGAGCATCACACCTGTGTCAGTATCAGAAGGGTATCAGAAGAGAATGAGGGGACCAATGCTTGTCTCCCTCCTCCTGCTTTTCATTTGGGTGGACCCTGCTCCCAGGTCTGTCTCTCTGGTCTGAGTGAGGTGAGACAGTAGCTCAGTTGGTAGAGCATAGGCCTTTGAGCTAGAGGGTCGTGGGTTCAAACCCGACCTTCACCATCGACTCCCACTGTCTGCTGTCGTTGTGTCCTTGGCAAGACACACTCTGGGAACACCAGCCACAGTGGGATGGCTGCAGCTGTAAAGTGTCAAACAAGGCAAGACACTTTACCCCCATTGCCTAGAATGAGTCTGGTGTGTGTGTGAATGGCACATACTGGTTGCCTCGCTCCTGTCAGTGTGCCCCAGGGCAGCTGTGGCTACAGTAGTAGTTTATCACCAACGTGTATGGAATCAAAGAATAATGATATGTAAAATTTGGCAAGTTTTCATGCATGTTCAGAGGGTCAAATTATGGTTCAAAGTGCTAAATAATTTTTTGAACGTCTCTGAGCAAAAACAAAATAGGTTTCAATGGAACCTGATACAGCATTTTAAAGCATTTGAGTTACGCACGTATCCGCCACGTTTTGGTGAGTGACGGGCACTGACGCGTCCGTCACGCATTATGAAAGCAATGCGTACCGCCCAGACTGCGGTAAGGGCCTATTGCTTTCACAATGGTGAATGCAAGAGGTCGCACCATAACCCCCAACTGGGGTAATGTTAATTTCCCCAGTCGGGGCTCGGGCCTAATGAGACAAACTACATTAACACATTTTAATTCATGAAGTAATTTCCTATTTCAAATACTATTTAGACATCTTTGGTTGCAGCTTTTATAAACCTTTCTCTCAGACTAATCCAACTAATTTGTAAACGGTCTTAAATGGAATGCCTCAACTTTCTCATTAGAGGATATTTTACAGTGAATAACAGCTCCCTGGCTATCTAAGTCATAACTTTGTCTTGCTTTTAGGCCTACATTTCTCACTCTCTTGGGAAAATAATATTATTATTTATTTATTATTGTACCCTGTGGTGCTGCCGTATTGCGCACAACAGTCCCAAACACGCTCTTCCCAAACCTGACATAGTGACCTCACAGTGAGGTAATTGAGTGGCTGCATAGACTATGCTCTTGCTTTCTTCTTCTTCTTCTTTTTCTTCTTCTTCTTCAACGCTTTCACCAAATTCAACAAATTATACATCGTTACGACCGGCTTCACCGTGTCATTATTGCTATTACTTTTCACACTTCCACCTTTTGAACTTTTTCAGATATTTACATTTTCCTATTGACTTATATTGGACCAGTACAATAATTGCCCCGCGGACAACACATTTTCCTTCTTCTTCTATGCAGCCACTCACAATGGCTACAGCCATTGTACCATTTCTAGTTGTAATATTCACTTGGTAAAGATGGGATCAACTCCGTTCTTCTCCAGTTTCTCCCCCACTAAGAGAGGTTGGATGGTATTAAATGCACTGGAAAAGTCGAGGAACATCAGCCTCATATATCCTCTAGAGCCATCCAGGAAGGACACGGATT